ACATGTGGGAATGGCTCAAAGCTGTACGAGGGAGGTTTAGGCTGGATACGAGGAAGTATTTGTTTACTGAGAGGGTGGTCAAACACTGGAACAGGCTTCCTAGGGAGGTGCTCAATGCCCTTAAGAGGCATTAAGAGGCATTCGGACAATGCCATTAACCACACGCTTCAACTTTGGTCAGCCCTGAAGTGGTCAAGCAGTTGGACTGGATGATCATTGTAGGTCCTTTCCAACTGAAATGCTCTATTTTAGTCTTTCCATCTCTGACGTTGCATCCATCTTTCTCTTTCCTTCCTCACACAGCATTACGTGTACTACCACTAGTGCTGCGCCTGCTTTCCACGTGTTCACCTGCTGTGTGGAGTTTTAGAGCAGTCAAGGGGCTTCGAATCCATGTGGTAGCTGTGAAGTCAGTGCCTCTTACCAGGACTGCCGTGAAGAGAGCCGTGTTAGTAGGCACGCTTTCCCACATTCAGCCTTCTTTGCCATGTCCATTTCCTGCTATACAATGCATCACATGGCTCTTACATTTCGTCTCAAAATAAAAACAGGAGACCTGCAGTTGTCTTATTGCACTGTAGAAATGTCAGTATTTCCTCAATATTTTGGTATCTCACTTGGGGAAAAAACGACGTTTCTTGTTGGAGACTTGACTTAATTAGGATTTGCATTTGGGGTTGATAAACATGAGTCCTATTGAATTTAATAAGATATTTCCTGCTTTTGGAATGAAAAGATCTTCTGTATCTGGGTCACACAGCACAAACAGATCAATATGGACGTATTACACAGTATGTGTTTCTGAGCTGCTTGCGCCAGCAGTTGCAACGTGTTGCCTGACCAGCCTCTATCAAGTTTCAATTTACCATATTTATAGATCCGAAAAGCAATTTTGGGAAATTATTCATGTGTTCATATAAGGGAAGAAGATCCTTCAGACCTGATATTAAACAAGTCCTTTGAAATTAAAGGACTACAGATGAAAAACAAAAGATGGGAGAACCAGCAATCGAAAAGGTTTGGAATAAAAGTGAGAGTTGAAACTAACAAAGATTAACGTCTGATAGAAGCTGTCTATATCTATTTGTCTTTTCTGTATTCTGCTTTTTCTAAGTTATCCACTGAGTTTCAGAGTGAATTGCCTCATACTTGCTCACCTTTTCTTCTCTACTCTCAACTGGGTTTTGACTGCATTGCAGACATTGCAAATAATCTTAATTGGAAATATTTAAATGAGTGTAGACTGCTGGACTGTACTCAAGAATCCTAGAATTAGTTTATAAATAAATGAATGATTCATAGAATAGAAGAGGGAACATGCTCATTTGAGCAACTGCATTACTAGGGATACACAGCCTTATTTAATTTCTGGGCTTATATTAGAAATTAGGATCCTCCAGGACCAGAAAAATGTGGGTTTGGAGGTGTTTTCATTTGTTTATTTAGAGAAAAGTCTATGATCTGACAGTTATTTTAGCATTTTAAAATAATAAAGGAAAATGAATGTTTAAGAATTTGTTGTATTGTGCACAGGGGACGAAAGTATTAGATATGCATTGCCCACTAGTTTTTCTGTGAGACCCTGTCTGCTTGCTCATTTGATAGCTTCCTTTTTTAGTTTCATTTGCTTTCTGCTGGGCAAGTCACATAAAATTTTTCCCAGAATTGTCTCCTTTCAGTGATAGTCCCTACCATCAATTGCTTTATGTATTTGTGCACTCTCTAGGAGAGAGTGTTTGAAGTATTTGTGTTTGTGCAGCAACTTGTGCAATACATACATGATGATCCAGTTGTGGCATCTGTGTTCTGTTTTATCTCTATCATCACGTGTTTCTTTCAACATAAAATGATAGTTGTCTTGTGGAGTTTTTAGACCAATAAATAAATCATTTGGAGAGCACATGCCAATGCCATGATGGAAAAAAGTGCTGGAGCTGTATAATATTTGTGTGCACTATTTTGTTGCAAACATCAATTTTGCTGTTGAAGGTAGATAAGGTGTGTAATTCCTTGACTTTCTCTGTATGTTACTCATTACTTTAAAGAATTGTCTAGAAATTAGTTTTCCTGAGCTTTCATTTTAAGTCACTGACCTGGAGTTCTATATTACCAGTTTAATTGTATGCTTCTATTATTTGTTCTTTAATTAAGGTAATAATGACAGAAGCTACAGCTTTACTTTATCTGCTGCGTTGTTATGATAGTTTCAATATCAGAGTAACATGGAAAAGTGTCCTCTCACGACAGCAGTTTTTTCCTGATACTACAGATTGGTGTGAAATGAATATTTAATGTCATTTTCTGTAACTGATAATATCTTTGTCCTAGTCTGAACGAAGGTATTTTGTTTTTCTGAACCGTTAAGCCCCTTGACAGGGAAAGTATTTCAGTTTTGTATAGAGATGGAGCCTCTGCTATAATGGTAAAGACTTATAATACATTGGGAACAAAGAGGGAAAATTGTAGAGGCATAAGTGGAAGACCCTAGTGACTGAATGTCATTATATTTTGTTTTATCAAAATAAAAAGTTTATTTCTATTCACCTGGTAGAATACCATATGGTACTTTTCCATTACTGTACAAGTGAATGCTTTTTCTAATCACCTTATTCATTAAAGACTATGTGCAACAAGGACTTGGCATATAACCAGTTTAGGAGAGTTTATCTGAAGCGTTTGAACATGATGGGTGAGAGCCATCATTTGCCGTGGTAATGTGGGGACAGCCATCTGGTGGCATAGTTCCTAAAGTGGCATAACACTCTTCCCCAGCCATTAGATTTGTTAGAGTGAGTTCTGGTCACCTAATACAACAATTTATCACATGCAGATTATTTCTGTTCTGCTTTAGTCAATAGGGGAGAAAAAAGAGAAATGCTTATTTGCATAATTACCAGCAACTGAGATCTGACATTTGACCAAATGATTTTCATAAGAAAAAGAAGTAAAAGCTGTTTAATCTAGTGTAGAAAATTGGATGCTTATGATTTGGTCATGCTCAGTTTTTTACCTGTAATGCTGCATACTCAGACAGTAAGTGTTGTGCTAAATTCACGCTATGCATCATTTTGTAGATAGACAGAAAGCTTAAGTTTACAGTTCGGTGTGTAAATATAAACAGTAGAGACTCCCAAAAGCAAGGTTAGTCGGGTGAACATGAGATTACATTGTTAACTCTTCCTGGTTTACTTTGATAATGTGCCAAAAAACTTAATAATGTTTGTTAGAAACTTGTGAAATCTAGAACAGCTGTGTCAGAGAAGATATATTTTTTTAAAAATTATTAAATTATGCCAGGACTGTGTATGGTAAATATTAAGATTTCAGTGTTGTTTATAAGCCCTTGGAAAAAAATACCATCACTTAATGAAAGTCCAGGGCACTCTGGTTTTGCATTGTCTCCTGAAGGCGAGCACACCAGGGCTTAGCAAGACAAGAGGGAGCCAGTATTTAAAGCTGAAGCTTGACAGAGACCCCAGTCCTGTAGACTTCTGGACTAGACATACATTTGACAGTTGAAACTGCAATGATATGTATGGAAGATGCATTAAACGTAGTTTCTAAGGAACCCTTTGATTTGAAATAAAAGAGTATTTACAGGGCAAAAGCATTAGTTCAGAATTATTTAAACCATGTGCTAGTCATTATTCATGGTGGGCCTAAAGCAGAACATGAGTCATAGGTACCCTCAGACTGGGAAGAAATTTGATTTGGAAACTAGGACTTTTCTCCATTGGTACTGCTTAACTTGGAATTCAACCAGAATCAGGACTGTGGGAATGATTCTGCATAGGCTGAAGCAGCCCCTAGGTTTGCAGTGGTTTGTTGTAGCCAAGCACAACTGGAGCGGTGTTGGTCAAACTTAATGTCTTGCCAGTCCTTGAAAAAACTTTCCACTTTCTAATGTATGTGCGACTTCTAGAAAGGCTTTTGTTAGCAGAGCAAGCACAAGTTCTCACCCAGCCGATAAGTCATCATTTACTGTGCAACTTATGTTCTCTCTGTTACAGTTTGCTTCTGCCTCCCTTGACATCTAGCTCCTGAGAGATGAAACCAGGACTTCTTATGTCGACCTCATTTCGTAAATGAGGCAGGATCTGAGACTAATGCTGATAGTTGTCTCTTCCTGATCTCTCTCTTTCTAATTGGTCTGTGGTAAAGGTTCCCCGGGGGAGAGGTGTAGAGGGATGGAAAGATGGGAGTAATGTTCATAAACAACTTAATATTCCTCACCGGGAGGCATGCAGGCAGGGAAGCAGGATTGCTATACCTTCCCAGATATATGTGTTGTTCCTGACTCCTTTCCCATCATCCAAAATTGCGCTTTAAACATTGTAAGAGTTCAGCAACTTTTTAACCCCCTTTTTTCATGTTGGACACATGTCTGAAGGAAATCATTTTATATTAGTTATATGGCTTGACTGAGAAAGGCTCAAATTAACTGGGTCCTTGCTGTCTTGAAAATGAATTTATATGAAAAAAGCTCTGGGAATTTATTTATGTTTCCTCGTAGGTGGCATTAAATGTCCTGTTTGTAGCTTTGTGTACGGTACGAAATGGGAGTTCAACAGACATCTTAAAAACAAGCATGGAATGAAGCTAGTGGAACACGATGGGGAGACCAAGTGGGAGGTAAGCCAAAGTTTCCATGGCTTTAGCCCTTAGATTTTAAAAATTTCTAGGGACAAAAGATAAGAATACGAAGTATTACCAAGTGTGTTCTTGACTTCATGTACGATCAGGAGGTCATGTCATCTCACTCCTGTTTTGAATGCATACATTGCTGTGACTGTTGAGCTTCACTGCTTAACAGATGCTTATTTCAACAGGTGAAAGTTTTAGCAAAAAATTGTGAGGTTGAAAAACTTACTGCATTTTGTTATATGCCAGATATTCTCTGGTGTTAACCACAAGATGCACAAAGCTTCAAGCTTAGATTGAAACAATGAAAAAAGCTTATGTCCTGGACCAGAAAAGGTTACAATCTAAAAAACTGAGTTTGTAAATTGATCAGCTAAAAAAATGGTACTATTATACCAATTGAGCCTTTTATCATTTGTTCTGTGTTTCTAGCTTCAGTCCAAAGTGTATAGGATTTGCAGTATTACTGGGATCAGTAATTAGTGAGATCATAAACCTAACGCCCGCTTTGGAAGTGCTGTCCTGCAGTGCTTATTCAACAAGTTTTGAGTATCCACAGACAGAATGCTAAGTCCTTGAAAAATAGCAAAGTCGGTTCTATATGATCAGTTATTCAAAGAATTCAGGGCAAGCGTTTTAAAATGTAGTCCTTATCTCCACATGCATTTCACAAACAATTCTCTGGCCACTCTCCCAATAGATGCCCAAACATGAAGAAAATAAGAGGACGTGCAGGGTGGAAGCAAGTCTCTGCTCTTGAAACAGCTATAAACTAAGTCCCATCAGAGCAGGAATACGTGCTGACAGCTTGCCTTGAAAAAGCGTAGTTATGGGAAGGCTGATTTTTCTAAAACAAAATGCCATTTTCAGACTTCAGAGGCGTTTTACTGGATCTGCACGGACATGCATTGCAAACTAATATTGTCAAAAAGGTCTTTACCAAACCCTCATACAATAGAAGTATTTTGTTAGTTCTGAAATAAATGTGCAACAAAAATGAAGTCAAGATAATTTAGCATGTTTAAACAAACTTTTGAAGTAGAATCTAGCATAAAACTGCAGGATGATAACCTGACTCCCATCTAATGTTCTTGAATTCTGTTTCACCCAGAATTTCTATAACTCTTGTTACAATAGTTGTTCAAAACTCATTCCTTTAAACTCAGAACTTTTGTTTTTCACAAAAAATGCTAAATTGAGAGTGAGATTATTCATGTGTTGGCTGGGTTTTGTTTTCAAGTTAACTGCTGAAGTTTCTGAAGAAGCATCCACTCAGTATCTCCATATCACAGAGGCTGGAGAAGATGTTCAGGGCACTCAAGCGGCAGTAGCTGCATTGCAAAACCTTAGATACACTTCTGAGAATGGTAAGTTCTCTTTCTTAAGTCAGAACACAAAGTACCTCTGTTTTCATAAATATCTAATTCTTTTGAGTATACTGGGCATTATATGATTTCCTGTGAAACTATTAAAAATGATGCAATTGGTCATCTAGAGCTTACTCCTGGGGGTTTATAGTTTCCTTGAGGATAATGAGAAATGGCCATTCCTTGTGAATTTCTGTATCCTTAAGTCATTAATACTTTACCACACTCTGTTTTGTACTTTATTATTAGGTGTGTGGAATTTCCTGCCTGTATTATTAAATATATTGTGACATCAGCTCTCTGGGCAGAGTAGATGGTGTGTATCTAATGGCAATTCTCTAGCTATTATTTTGCTCTCTGCTTAAGTCAGCCAGACTGCAGAAGTGACAGTGGCATAGCTGACTTACCATGTTCCCAGGACAGCACTAACAAACTCGATTCTGATGGTACACGAATCAAAGGATGTTATTCTGTATCTGATTGAGGAGGAACAAGAGGAGGATTAGATAACGATTGCTAAGTGGGAAATAACAAAACCTGATAGAAAAGAAAAGGTGTTCAGCTTTCTGACTGTTAAAACAGCAGAGACTAGAGAAAGTGTTCATACGTTTTGTTTTCATGTATGTAAATAAATGCTTTGGTTATCTGAAGATAGCATTTTGCAGTTGTTTACCATTATGGTCTTTATAGTTTGTAATGCAGATACATTTCAAAAACACCCATTTTTAATGGAATTTCCAATCATGTTGCAATAAAATTACGTGACTGAGAATTTCTGTATATTATTTTTATTTTAATGACTGGGAATTCTGAATGAAAACAGACCCCTTGAGAACTTTTCTTAACCTTTTATATATTTAAATTAAACATGATTGTGAAATATGCTGTACATAATAGTTTTGATTTTAAATATGAGGCTGTAGTTTTCAAAGTAGAATGATTTGCTTTAGTGCATCCAATTTTGGATACTCTTACAGCATATTCTCTCAAGGTATGAAAAACAGTTGTATCTTGCCTGAAGGCAGCTATGGAAAAAAAAAAAAACAAGCAAACATTTTTCAGTACTCAGATAAACTTGTGTCTTGGGTAGATAACAAAATATAACTACCTCCTATTTGAAATTAAACTATCTGATCTAGTTGCCCATTACAGTATCAACCTCAGTTTGAAAGGGTTTGGGATTAAGAGATAAGCTTTATTCTATTTACTTTCTCCTTCCTAGTTCCAACAGTGATTACAGCAAATATAAGGCAGCTTTAACATGACCCTGAGAGTTTTTTTCCCTTTCTGACATATGTCTCATATTGACCCTGGGAATGTGGGAGTACTCGGCCACAGGAGGGGAATTCATATTCCTGTATAACAAAAAGCCATTTTTCAGTGTACAAGTCTTTCCTTTTCACGCTTAGGGAGAAGTGAGAGTACAACTATATATGGGTTTTTCTTTGTAAACTTCTTTTCCTGTGCCAGGTTTGCATGCATCAAGAGGATTTTTTTAAAAAGGACAAACATGTTCTGATCCCATGCTTATTAAATAATAAGCATAAGCTCTCTCAAGCAATTAACTTTTCCCTTCAGCACGTTAGAGATAACAGTATTACTTTTAGGTTGAGGGGTGTTGCAGATGGACAGACAGATGGTAAACACAGGTTTGTAATATACTGAAAAATATACCTATACTCTAGGTATAGAGTTGAGGTTCTGTTTAAGCTGAATGTCTGGCTAATACACGTTTGGATTTGTAGAGTCTTGCAGCTTCCTAATTTACAGTTACTGCTATGAGATGTATGTATTTGTTTATTCAATGTATTCTTTTAGATCCCTTTCAAATAGGCATAAAAATGATCAGTGTAGCTTCACTCGCTGATTCATGCATTCCTCAGGCAAATTTGTTTGGTGAATACTTTCCTGCCATAGATCTATTATTAAAGTGTCATGTTATTGAGCTACTTGAAATGTATAAACAGCGCTGCGAGTCAGGGTTAAGGCAGGAGGGGAAAGAGGGCCTGTAGCACTTAAATTCACATACCCTCCAAGCTGTTGCACTGTAATGATCTCATGGATACTCTCTTTCTGATAAGGTGAAAGACTTGATCCAACAGCTGTAAACATCCTGCAGCAAATCATTGAGTTGGGCTCGGAAACCCATGATGCCACTGCGGTTGCTTCTGTAGTTACCATGGCACCTGGCACCGTGACAGTGGTAAAGCAGGTAAGAGCCCTTTTCTTCTATAAAACAGCTATATTTCATGTATTCATTGTGAAATTAGTATTGTTTTGAAGGACTAAATTTTGAATGACTGCGCAAGACATACAGAATTTTTGCTACACTGATTTTTCACTACGTTTTGTGTATGTGTGTTTACATGCCCACACACATACATGTTTGTACATATATAAATATGTATATACATATAAAAATTCATACATTTTTGCATGTATATAAAATATGAGTGAACAAATACACATATATATGTACGTGTGTGTGTGAAAATACAGATTTTTTTTTTTCCTAGCAGGGGTCTTCAGGCTTTTTAAAATAACATCCCTGTATTGTGCATGAGCACTTAGTTCCTGTGTCATTTAAAGGAATCAGGAGGCCCTTGGCACAGCATTCATCCAGCTACAGAAGAACATAGAAAGGCATTACTTGTGCAGAACTGCGTGCTTTTCAACCACAGTGCTGTAGGGCGATATCCAAAGAAGAACCATTGCTGCTAGTCGTTGCAGATCTGTCCTGTGGCTGCAGCTAGAAAAATTTGCAGGGTCCTAAAGTTCTGTACCCTGGGGACAAATGAGACTTGTACTCAGTCTGAGTTCGCACTGCCTTTCTAATGAGGGGTGCAGCACAGGTGATCTACAGCTCCGAGAAGAATATTGCAGGTGCTCCTTCCAGCAGTTGCTTATGTGAAACAAAGAGTCAGCATGGCCACCCACATTTGAGATAAATAAAGAAAAAATTCAGTTGAGTTAGAGTTGGTTGAGAAGATCTGTAGTTTATTTTGTTGTTACCAGAGAAATTGTGCAAGACCAGAAGATAGAAATCAATATTAAAAAAAAAAGTATATAAGATCGATTGTTAATTTCAGGCTTTTGCACAAATTATCTTTCCAGAAAAATGGTGGATTCAAATTATAACTAAGGGATATAATTTGTGGTAGGCAACATGGTTCCCTTAACATGAGGCAAACCTTATATATAACATATTGATAGAAGTAACTTTGATGCAGGTATATTTTTCTTGATGTTTGCAAGTTACCTTATTTTTAAAGCACTTTAGAAGTTAAGAATAAGGTATACAAAATCAGCAAGTAAAAGGAAATAATTTTCAATTTGCAGACAGTTGAATTGAGTGCAGACATACAGACTTTTGCTCAGTAGTTCTTCTTCACTGGTATCTGCTAACTTTGTTGGTGACATTTTACACTTCTCCTCACAGTGTTCTCCAAGCTCCACTTGTTCCTCCTGTTTCATCATCGCTCTCTGCTCATCCCTTTTCCCATTCTGTTCATTTGTTCATTGAGGTCTCTGCACTCAGTGTGGTTGATAGGTGAGAGAAGTCTTAAATTCCTGAAGAGTTTAAGTAACTCCTTTTATTTAAATGAACCAAACCTCTGATTATTCTGAGTGCTAGAACTAACTTTTGAGTTCAGTATTTTTTTTTTTAGAGTTGTGAACGTTGAATTCATGAGAACTTCATAGAAGTGGGAAGTCTGTAGTGTGTGAAGGCAGTATTAGGATAATTCCTAAACTTGCTGCCCACATGTCAGGGAGACAAGGCAGGATTTCAAGACAAAACGTTTTGAGATGTTCCTTTGCAATACTTAACAGGTATTTTGATTAGAAACCATGTAAGAGTATCTGGGATTTTTGCAGAATAACAGATCCAAATTTGGAAACTAAATTCAGTCATTAAAGAGACATTTTAGTCCTATTATGTGCAAGTTTCAAACCAACTTTAACAGTAGAGTCTCTGCCCACATGTACTCTGTGCTTTGCGTATGGCCTGTTTAAGGGCTGAATGCAGTGTTAGCCACTGGTGTTTGTGCTGTCTGTCAATATTACTGAAACCTGCTCTTCCCTTTAAAATGCGTCTTTTGAGGCCCTTCTACTAAAAGCCTAGGAGAAAGTGACCGTTGAAGTAGCAGCTGCCAATGAAAAACTATTTTTTGATATTTGAATGTTAAACTTCTAAAATACATAATTTAAAAAAATGCAGTGATTCTTCCTCCTGCAAGTATTAAATCTGATCAAAGTCTTATTCATCTTAAAAATCTATCGTCGCTCTTGTTAGACCGTCTGGATTTGCTGATAGTTTTATGTAAGTAAATGTTTACATTCCAAATGCATTTTTTGCCTCACTTTTTAATCCATGTTTTTAGCTTTTTGAGTTTACAAGCTGCTAAATATTGATCACTTCTTTTTCTGTTGCCTTGTATACATCAATGACTCTCACTGATCTGATGTCAATTTTTTACAAGCTTCACTCCCGTATCAAATATTGAATTCTCAGAGCACATAATCTCTTTGCTGCTTTTCTTTTCTGTCTCCCCTTTGCCCCCTTTAGAATCTAGTTAATATAAAACACCTTTTTTCCCCTAACTTGAAGTTGCACAGAAGCAAAATCACTGAAGAATTTAAGTACATCTCAAGCTGAATGATCTTTACACTGGATTTTACTAATGCCTTGCTTTGATGCTCAAAGCACCATTCTTCTGCTAAGATGGTTCTTGCATGTATTGGAAAGCCTACTCATTTCTTTCTGTGGTAGCCTCAGTGACTTTTCACTGTGTGTGAGCAGAAGTGTGCAGATCCGTGATTTCCCAGGGCAGCATCACGTAGCGGTACGCCTGCTGACAGCTGACGGACAGCTCAGTTACCTTTAGTGGGGCTAATGGAACTAGGACAAGGACCAAGGGAGGTCCTCAGATGATGATGGTGATTTCTCTTAAATTTTTCTACTTTCATCTTTCTCTTTCAATTTTCTCTATAAATCACTGTCGATAAAAGTCTGTTTGATCTGTTGTACAGCTTTAGTTTCTTGCCAGTTCTTGTCTTCCCACCGGAAGATAGCTTCAGAATTATAGCCACATCCATGTTTCATTTGAGGGAAAGAAGTCTTTAAACGTTATTAATGTGACTCTAATATTCTCCTATTCAGAACTGTCAGGTTTTCATTTTTCGTCAGTACAGAGTTGTGGCATTAGGTGGGTTATCACTCATTTGTACCTATGACTTTGTCAGGTTTTAATTATGTTGACTTTCTAATTGTTAACCTTGAAGTGATCTTAAGAGATGTTCATATTTCACTTTCCTACTGGAAAATTTATCCCACACTTTGTTCTGTGACCTTCAGCTTCTCTTGTGGATTGTGGAAGAAAAAGATTCATTCAAGGTGTCAGCAATATATCAGCATCATCTGTCACTGAATTTCCACTCTTGTTTTTTAATGGCCTCACTGAGTCCTTGCTTAGCAGCTTGGCTCCATTTTTTTCCTTAACAACATTTATTGTATTTGTTCTGATTTTTATGCTGTTATGTTGTGGGTTTCTTTCTTTTTCTCTAAGCACATACATTATCCCGTTTTTTCATCAGTTCTTCCCTCCATATCTCGTTGTTAGCTATCCCTTGCGAGTTGCCTTCCTATTTCTAAATTTACACCAAGAAATTTCTTCTAAATCCTAAATTATTAGAATGTTTTGAAAATATTTTTTTGCTGTAAATGTTGCACTATATTGTTACTATCTTGATGATTGTGTAAAGCTTTAAATATTGTCCTCAATATTAGTTTTGCTGTATGAACAAGCCATTGAGATCACTTTTCATTCAGAGCAAATCTGCCTACCTCATATACAGAAAACCACTAAAGAGCAGAGCAGTGGTCTTTGTTCTCTCTAGCCAAGCAAAACCAGCTCTCCCAAAAAATCAACTCATCTGTGCCCATGGTCTTCTTTGCCATGTCAACTCCTCATTCTTTTCCTTAGCTTCAAATTCTTCTGAACAATATATCTGGGTGAGCACTGCAAACAGACATTTTTATGCCGCTTTACTTGTAGCACATTAGCATGTAAAAGCTTCATCAGAAATGCAGGGCTTCTTGTCCTAAGTGATACACAGGCTTGCATGATCTGTGTTTCAGGGTTGACATTTTGCAAAATTACATTGCCCCTCTAGACAACCTTCTGACTCAAGATTTCATCTCTCCTCTGAAGTTCTCCTCTTGCTCTGGAGCCATCTCTTCAAGCCCACTCTGAAGAATATGACTTAATAAGATTGTATTAATCACTAATCATTGTTACTAATCGCTAAGATGATTATATCAGGCTTTCTGCATGACTGTTCATATTCCATCCACTTTCTTTTTCAACCCTATGGGATGTAAGTCTTTCCTGTTACTCAGGCTGAAGCTAGTGTCCTTTTCAGGTAGGATTCTTGGGCCTTGCATGGATTAGCTAAGTGGTGCTGACTTGTTCAGCATGATGACTTTTATATGATCTCTTATTTCAACCACTTAACTAAAATGGTTGTCCAAACCATCATTATTTCATGCAGTGGTTAAGTCTGATGGTCTTTTTTCTGACACTGATAGGTTATGTTTTATCTCTTCTATTCTTTCAGAAAAAGGCAAAGATTTCTCTGTCCCTCTTGATGTCACCCTCTCTTACTCTGCACACTTGATATTCCTTTTTTGCCACATCAAACAAAGCCTTGGTTTCATTTCAAAGGTTTTCTACTCCTTTCTGACTTAGTGTCCCATTTCCGATTAGCTTTAAAGATTTTGACTCCTACCTTTGCTCAGTCCATGAAGATTTAATTGCTCGTTACTTTTTTCAAACAAGTTTCTTAATGACTTCTCCCATATTGTGCTTAGGTATGTGGATTTTAAATTAAGGGCAATTTGTACCTCATTGTCTTCTCTCAATTAATCTTAAAAAATATGATGACAGTAATTATCTGTGGTTAGGCTATGGGTATATTGATACTAATGCCTGTCACAACAAAACCACTACTGTCTCGTTTATGTTGTACTCCCCCAACTCCCTTTTTCTCTCTCTGCTTACTGTCTCTTGTTTTATATTGAAATTACAAGGCCATTGGGACATTAAATACTTCTTACATGTAGCATACCTGATGCAATCCAGGTTCTGGTCCAAAGCACTACACTAATATTGACAATAAAGAGCAGTAATTCGCTGCTGAATTCTTTCTTTT